TGCAAAACATTCCCCTCCCCCCCCGGCGGCCATGCGTTAAGCGCGGTTCAACTATTCTCTCGCACAAAGTTGCAGAAACAAGTCACCCCAGGCAGCAGCAAACGTGGGGTGTTGCCTGTGCAAGGGCTGGCTTCGTTCTCGTAGGCAGGGGTGAGCAGCAGGGGGACATGGCACTGCGGGCGCCCCCGCCTACCGTGCTGTGCAAAACATTCCCCTCCCCCCCCGGCGGCCATGCGTTAAGCGCGGTTCAACTATTCTCTCGCACAAAGTTGCAGAAACAAGTCACCCCAGGCAGCAGCAAACGTGGGGTGTTGCCTGTGCAAGGGCTGGCTTCGTTCTCGTAGGCAGGGGTGAGCAGCAGGGGGACATGGCACTGCGGGCGCCCCCGCCTACCGTGCTGCAGGGGTGACCGGGGTGAAATGCAAGGAGAGGGGGTTTTACGCTGTCACAAATACGAAGCTAAGTAATCGGAGGCTGAAATCCTGCCCCATTGAAATCAGGGGCAACATTTCCTTTGACTGTAATAGGAGCAAGGTTTCACACGGTTCTCTTCCTGTATTAGCGTTTCAGAGTACAGCAGCCCTGCGTTTTCAGGACTATACAAGACAAGTTCTTGATGCTTGCCCATTGATCCAACCAGAAGCTTGGAGTAACAAGTATTTAAGTGATTTAGAAGCTCAAGTCTCTTGTAAAGTGACTTAGGGGCCTTAGGTTCTTAAGTGCTCACAACCACTTTTTAAAATGAGATTTGGCCGCCAAAGTCACTTTGGTTCAGGACTGGCAACAGCCTTAGTCGTGCCCTGGGTGGGGAGGGCAGGGCTCAGCTCTGAGCCCTCCCAGATGGGCCTCAAGTGGAAGGGGCAGGGTAGGGGGCTAGCCTCCCTTAGGGCTGCCTAGACTCTGCCACACAGGGCTTCTGTAGCTATTTAAAGGGCCGGGGGATCTGGCTGCTGCTGCTGCTACTGGGGGGTGACCTGGGGCTCTGGGCCCTTTTTGAATTGCTGGGTTTCAGGACAGCTGTCCATCTCACCCATCTCCCAGTTGGCAATGCTGTGTAGGTGCTTTTGAAAAGTTATTTGTCTTTTTATATGAGAATGACATGATTTTACTGATGGCTAAATTATCTGTCCCCTGAGCCACAAGTTCAATGCACTAAGTTATGTTATTTTCCTTTCTTCTGTGTATTTTTCTGTTTGCTTAAACACGCTGTTGACTGACAGTATTGCTACATACTATTTAGTCAGTCTGCTGCTCTAAGATCTACATCTTATCCTAGTCTCCCTGTGTCCCCTACACATTTTATAAATTAAGGAATATACTTCCAAGAGGTACAATATTGGACTGTGTAATAGTCTTCCAAGGGAAGTGGTAGCTTTGTTGTTTGCACCATTAAATCTAAAATGAAGAAGACATTTTAACATATGCTGTAGGGAACAATTCTGCATTGGTGGGAGTTTGGATTAGATGGGCAAATAGGCCTTTTCTGTCTCTAATTTCTGTAATAAACAATGGAAACCCTGCAGTGAATAGAACATTAAATTGATTCTGTGGTGGAACTAATAAGTGTCTCAATCCAAATTTTTGCCATTTAGTGATCTCAGAGGAGGTCTTCTAATGAATCATGGCATTAGTCACTCCTAGGCTTGTGTACTTATGCAGGATGTCTTAATTTAGCCAAAATTGTAACTTTAAAGCGGTGTCATTGACCTTACGTATTACAGAATCCAATTCTGAATAAAGTGGGCAACTAGAAGCTTAAGAATCTACATTCTTATCTTACTTTCTGCCTTCTTTTGCAAAGGTATGAGAATAGCAAGTATGAAATTTAGAATTTTCCTGTAATCAATTATAAGTGTTCTCTCAGCCTAAAATAAGCCACACCCAAGATATCATTTTTCTCTGTTTTAATTTTTTTTATTAACACCTCTCTGTAACACCTAGCAACCAAGTATGCTTTATTAAGGATATCTTTTTTGGTTTTTGTTAATAAAATCATCTTTTTAAGGTGTTGATTTGATTCTTGTGTCCTGAAATATAGCAGGAAATCTATGTATGCATGCCTAGACTGAAAGGTCAGCTATCAGAGATTGCAGGGGGAGGGGAGTTGTTTTTTGTTTGTTTGTTTGTTTTAATTCAAGTTCTCTTGTGGTAAAAGAGCTTTGGGAGGTGCCCCACTGGAAGAAGTTCAAATGCTGCCTCCTGAGTTTAAAAAGGGGTGAGTGTGTGTGTGTTTGTTTTTATATTTGATGGTGACAGCTACCTCCCAAGGCCAGGAAATGTGGCAAAAGCCTATAGTATTTAAGGTCTCTTGCAGGCCCCCACCTTCTTCACTCAGAGTGCCACAGTGGGGAGCAACCTTGAAAACCTCTTCTCACACAGGGGGAACCACTAACCTGTCTCCCTGCCTCGTGCTCTCTGCTTTTCATGCCCGACTGGGTCCCTGAAACAGACTCATCTCTCCTGCTACCTGGTGCCATATCTTCCTAATGTAGTGTGTTGAGGTACACAGATCTATATGCCCTCTCCCCAGATATCTGTCAGGGTTCACAGTGGAATGCGGCAACAGCCTTTCATCACTGCTTCCAGCTACAGGCTGTCCCCGACTGGCGACGCGATCGGTTCCGGGAATAGCGTCACAAGTCGGGGGCGTCGTAACTCGAGCCCGCATTTTCAAAAGGTGTCGTACGCCATCATAAATGTGGAGGTGAGGACATAAGTCGGGGGATTTCAGCCCCTTCCGCACTTACGGAAAATGTTGCAAGTGCAGGGGATCGTAAATTGGGCCGTCATAAAGCGGGGACCTCCTGACCAGCGGAGAAGGAGTAGAGGCAATATGACCTAGCCCATATCTTTGCAGAATTAATCTCTCCTCCTCCCCACCCCACATGGGTAGCTGAAAGTAGCTTGTCCCTGCCTACCTGAACAGCATTGAAAGGCAGCTAATACTTTCAAGCTGCTGCTGGCCACCAACATAACACAGCCTCTTCCTGTCCCCCTGGTACAGCACAGACAGGAAGCAGTTAAGCCCTAAGGCATCCTTGTGAATCAGGGCCCAGGAAATCTGACTGCAGGAGCTTTAGCAAACCAGGCCAGAGAGATGGCTCAGCAGGGAGGCTGACTAGGGATGGAGCAGCTCTGTGCTCCCTGGGGAGCAGGACCTGGGGGTAGACAGGTGAGGAGAGTGCCAAGCCCCTGCCTGGGGGAGGGGGGAAGACTGCTGTGGCACTTGAAGGTTTGGAGCACAAGCAGGCTTGATATCGCTCTCCTGCCCTCCACGACCTGAGAGCTTAGCTGAGGAGCAGTCTGCCTCATTCTAATTCTGTGTGGAGCTTTGGCATATGCGGCGTTCAGCTCTTCCTGGCCAGGTCTCTGTGCCAGAGGGTCTTGGGCTTTCCCAGAGTGCCAGCTCAGCAAGCAGCAATGGGGGAAGGAAGGAGTCTGCTAGCCAGACCGTTGAAGAGCTGAGTACTCCCATGAGGGTCTTCTTTTTTGCACAGTTCTGGAAGCGGATTGCATCCTGCTGGGGTGATATGAAAGAGTAGCAGACAGGCGTCATTTCAGATGGCGGGGCAGCTGACCTGTGCACGCCATGATGGAGAGAGAGGGAGAGCTTGGGGCCAGACTGAGAACACAGGCTTCAGCAGTGTTACTGAGCATGTTCCGTACAAGCCAAACACCAAATGGGGACACTCCTCCCCCCGCCAACCCTCCCACACACATACACATCATCTTTATCCAGAGGCTGTCAAGGTACTGGAAGATTCTACTTTTTTGGCAGACAACTTAGCAGTTAGCTGATAGGAGCACTGTATCTAATTCCCATATAAAAGAAAGAAAATTAAATAAACATTAAATCCAGTCAGCTCTAAGACTAACATATTCTGACATCTTGTGGCAAGTCACGTAAGAAACACTATTTAGCCTTAAAATTTTAATTTATATTCATACTTTGTTACTAACTCTGTGGAGAGAGGCAGACTCCGTCAGAATTCCTGGACTCTAGCTCAGCTCTGGAACAAGAGTGGGGTCTAGTGGGTTACAGCAGGGTGGCAGATAAATTTCAGCTCTATATAGGAACATCAGAATACTGGGTTAGACCAAAGGTCCTTAGAGTCCAGTATCCTGTCTTCCAAAAGTGGCCAATGTCAGGTGCTTCAGAAGGAATAAACAGAAGAGGTAATCATCATGATCCATCCCCTGTTAGGGATGTTAGATATGGGGTTATTGAATAGTTGTGTAACCGCATGATGGATTAGAAAAGAAAACCCATTTCATACCACTCCCAGGAAGCCCCCTTCCACTCTGTGCTGCTGTCTCTGGGAGCTAGTCCACCAGGGGAGCCAGTTTCAAAGCCAGCTCTTATTCATAGACCAGCTGCCTGCCGCCGCTGCTGCCTCTGATATAGAGGCAGCAGCGCAGGGTGGTAGCAGCCCCTGTCTGCAGGGAGTTGATCTCACAAAGCAGCCTCTGGCTACTAGGGTTGCCAGATGGTTTAATAAAAAATACCAACCCCCCCCCAAAAAACCCAAACAAACACCAGGGGAAAATTCTGTTGAGGAATAAAAAGTGGGTGGGGGGTGGGGGAAGACCAAAGGGACCCTGAGAGTTATTAAGCTAAAAAATAAAACAGCATGGGAGACCAAAGGGACCCCGAGAGTTATTAAGCTAAAAAATAAAACAGCATGGCCACTTTAAGAAAAACCTTTGAGGCTTTTTGCTGGTGGCCATCTTGTTACCTGATCTGAGCCAGAAGATAGTGCCCCTGTGGAACCAGGTAAGCAGAGGATCCAGGGGCTGGGCCCGGTTGCTGAGTGTGTGTAGGGTTGCCAGGTGTCTGGTATTTTCACCTCCTGGCAGGGAAAAAAAATCAGTAAATACCAGACATTTTACGTGTCTGGTATTTTCTGAATTTTTTTACCCGACAGGAGGCGAAAATACCGGACTGTCCAAGCCAATACCAGACACCTGGCAACCCTACTGGCTATTGGATGGTCAGGCGGCCCCACACCAAAACAGTGGCGCCTCCTCCCCCCTCCCCCCCGCCTCCTCCCGCTGTCTCTGATATAGGCAGCAGCACAGGAGGAGGCACGCGATACTGCAGAGTCTATGCTGGGGCAAACTGGCTTTTAAGCTGGCTCCCCCTCCCCCCCTTGTTGGGATAGAGGCTGCTGATAGAGGCAGCAAAAGGGGGAGAGAAATGCTTGTAGTCAAGAAGATTAACTGATAACCCCCCTCCCCCCCGCCTCCTCCCGCTGTCTCTGATATAGGCAGCAGCACAGGAGGAGGCACGCGATACTGCAGAGTCTATGCTGGGGCAAACTGGCTTTTAAGCTGGCTCCCCCTCCCCCCCTTGTTGGGATAGAGGCTGCTGATAGAGGCAGCAAAAGGGGGAGAGAAATGCTTGTAGTCAAGAAGATTAACTGATAACGGTTAATTGTATAGTCGACTACATGGAGACATACCTATCTCCTGTTGCCCCTTCCTAGCTTCTGGGCCCATCCCTGCACTTCCTGGCTAGTAGCCATTAATGGATCTGTCCTCCTTGAACTTACTGGCTGTTTCTATATTGGCAAGATTTTGCACAAAAGTGGCTGGGAGGTCTTGCGCTACCTATCTCCTGTTGCCCCTTCCTAGCTTCTGGGCCCATCCCTGCACATTCTGGGTAGTAGCCATTAATGGATCTGTCCTCCTTGAACTTACTGGCTGTTTCTATATTGGCAAGATTTTGCACAAAAGTGGCTGCTTTTGCGCAAAAACTTGCCACCTGTCTACACTGGCTGCGAGTTCTTGCGCAAGAACACTGACATTCTAATGTATGAAATCAGTGCTGCTTGCGCAAGAACTATGACGCTCCCGCTCAGGAATAAGCCCTCTTGCACAAGTGTTCTTGCGCAAGAGGTCAGTGTAGACAGGCAACATTAATTTATTGTGCAAGAAAGCCCGATGGCTAAAATGGCCATTAAAGCTTTCTTGTGCAAGAGACTGGCATGGATGCTTTTGCGCAAATACTTTAATGCAAAAACTCCTGCGTTAAAAGTATTTGCGCAAAATCTTGCCAATGTAGACATAGCCCCCTTGTTCTTATTGGAATTCTGTTATACTTTGGGTTTTTTCACCATCGCCTGGCAAAGAGTTCCACAAGTTGATTGTGAAAAAATAATTTGTTTTGTTTACATCCGCTGCCTATAAATTTAATTGGGTCAGCTTCTTGTGTTATGTTAGTGAAGGAATAAATAACATTTCCTTATTTTATTTTTCCACACCATTATTTTCTAGACCTCTAACATATCCCCTCACCCTTTTAGTCATTTATTTTCCAATCTGAAAAATCCCAGTCTTGTTAATCTCTCCTCATAGGGAAGGTATTCTTTACCCCTTAATAATTTGTCTTGCCCTTTCTGTACCTTTTCCAAATACAATATATCTTTTTTTAGAGGGGTTGACCAAATCTGCATATAGTATTCAAAGTGTGAGCATACAGTGATGCGAGGTGGCAGCAGCCCCTGTCCAGGGGCAGGTCTGAGCTCCTGGACCCAGCACAAGCCGGAACTGAGCCGTGGTGCCTGCCCACCTGGCTCCTAATACACTTTAAATGCAGAGCCACAGAAGGGGTAGGTCCTGGACCTGGTGCAAGTCAGGAATGAGCCAATGAGCAACCTTTAGCAGGCCACCCTACTAAAAAAACTACTGGCAAGTGCGGGGATGCATGTAGTGTATAACATTAACTAATAAACTTTTGTGTATCAGTTAATCGACAATATTACATCCCTAGTGCATATGTATTAAAGAATATCCTTTTGTATTTCATGTTTCAGCCATATACCATAAAAAAGCAATTAAGTGCTTATTTTTTCCATAAAACTTCTAGCTACCAGTTCTAGGAAAACTTGATGTTGGAATATATTTTCTCTTCCTCCACAGGACCATCCGGTATGTACCAGAAGAGTCCAAAGACAAAACTATCTCCGATGAAGATGTCCTTGAAACACTACTGAAACTCTTTAAAGCTCTGTTCATAAATGATTTTAATAGACAAATGGACTTCTTTTCCTTACTTCCAGAAGTAAAATCCAAGTATCTGGAATTACTAACTGTTCAGTTGAAGAAATCAAAAACAATTGGTTACAATCATCAAAGTCAAAATACCTTTAATCCTGAAGAAGTTCTGTTTAATACATTAGGGTTCAGTATTACTCGAGATCGGAGTTCACTGATTTCTGCTGGAACAGGAGTTTTTGTTACCAATGGGTTTGTGCCAAAAGGGACAGTAGTATCTATGTATCCTGGTAATGAACTGCTTTGTCATTTTTCCAAATACGTTAAACATGGTTTCTACCTAAGTGGTTACTGATTGCATAACTGAATTGGTATCCCAATCTTAACTTTTAGCATTTTAACTTTGATACCCTTCTAAAATCACAGGTTAAAATTTGTAAAGGTATTTCCATGTGTAAACTGATCAGGAGATCTTTTGTGATAAGAAATATATATATATTTAATGTTCTTTGAGTACCCAAGATCTGGTTTGAAATGGTAGAAAATTTGTCACTGATTCTGTAAACACTAATGTACAATGAGTTATTTTATGCATAAGAAGAAATCCCATGCAATTCAATGACCATTTAATGTTCATATTTTGTTCATGTGCATAAGTGTTTGCAGGAATGAGTCTCTTAATCTCTATAGATATCAGTGGGTAGCGTACAGAACACTTTCACAGCACAAAATTATATATTAGGAATATAAAATCCCATTTAAGTAATTCATTAAATCTTAAGTTTAACCAGTTAAGTGTTTAAATGGGTTTGGGGGAACTCTCCTGGAAGTTGGGGGGCTGCTCCAGCTCCCACTGGTAAACTGTAACTAGTAAGCCCCACCCATGAAGAATGAGGCTTACTGGTTAACCAGTTAACCATTAACATCCCATGAAAGTAGAAAGTACAGGAAAAGAAAGAAAAAGACCAGAATAGAGGAAAAAAAAAATCCTGCCTACTGACACTATACTCCAAAAAGTGATTATTGAATAGAGGGAAAAAAAATTCCTGCCTACTGACACTATACTCCAAAAAGTGATTATGAAAAAATGGCACTTCTTACTTTACTTCAACTCTTTGTATCTGGGAGTTTCATTAGTTCTTTTACCCAGTACAGATGTAGGAGATGATGCTCACAGCAGAACAGAATTCAGTTTCAACAAAATTACCAGTTAAAAATTTATTGCAGTTGGTGATGTAAGAAGCAGAAAGCAATAATCAAATCCCAGGATGAGCTTGAGTTGTAATTTAGAAACATCATCCTAAATTTTCATCTCTGATGGCCATTTGTGCTTCTCTGGTCATGGAATCTGGACCTAGCTGGCTAACTTGAGAATTACCCTGCTGTAGGAGAATTTTCACCTGGTCAATTCCATAGCTAACTGCTCCCCCCAGTGGAGATACAGTGAAGGGGAGCAGGGCAGGATGACGACATGCATGGGCTACATCTGTTCTGTGTCTCAGTTTATGGCCCTGGCCTAAAGGGACCATAGCTGTTTGCCTTTAGTTAGAATCATAGAATACTAGAACTGGAAGGGACCTCAAGAGGTCATCATGTCCAGTCCCCTGCGCTCACAGCAGGACTAAGCACCATCTAGATCATCCCTGACACATGTTTATGTAACCATGCTCTTATATCTCTAAGGATGGAGATTCCACAACCTCCCTAGGCAAATAGGAGCAAGCTCTAAGATGGTGGCACAGATATACCTAGACTGGGCAACTGCTGGACTGTGGAAATATCAGATCAGTACAGTTCTGTGTGCTCTTTCGAAATTATTAATGGCAGTTCACGAACTGAAGAAAGACTAATCTTCTCACCCCTTTGGCCTCTGTCTGGGAGGTTGGTTCCTGACTACTAACCCCATTCTGACACTTTTATTTATTGCCTTCTAAAATATCCATGTCTGTCTTACAACAGGCACAGTATATCAAAAGTATGAGCCCATCTTTTTCCAGTCCATTGGCAATCCATTTATTTTTAGATGCATAGATGGTGTATTTATTGATGGGAATGATAAAGGAATATCAAAAGCAGTGTACAGGTAAGCAATTAAAAGAAACGGGAACTAAGTTCGTATTATGGTATTATGGTTATCTAATCACAAGAAGTAGTGTATTGAAAGGTATTATGGTTATCTAATCACAAGAAGTCTAATCAAAAAGTGATTGGATTTTTCAGACTTTCATTTATTTTTCACCATACAGTATCACATACTATAATATAAAAATGCAGTGCTGTCAGTCTTTCTCTGTAATGAGGCTGAAAGCTATTGGATGTGATATATTCATATCAAATTGTCGTGTGCCAGTCTGTAAATTTGAGAAGATGCACTTTGCTGAAAAGTGATGCTTTAATAGCTGTGATTTTTATGAGGCAAATACATTTAAATCTAGATCTGATTCAGTATAAAGTTTTAAAATTATATTTTGAGGTTTCTAATTAAATCTGGTTGATGGATTAGAAAAGAAAACCATTGCGTGTCATGGAGCATGAACTCTGTGGCACCTAATAGGCATATTATCTAGCCCTAGCTCTTTCAACTTGCCCTTAAAAAACATCACATAAAAGCAAGACTGCAGAAAAGTAAGTCTTTTCTTTGAATAGCCCAAGGGCTAACATGCACTTTGCCAAATTTTAGTTTCCAGAGAAACTCAATTTACAGCAACATCTGTGCAGAATGTAAATGTCACACAACCAAAATAGAATTAACAATAACAACCAGGAAACAACCTGAAAAGGCAGTCTGCTTGTATTGAGTTTGGATTCTGGGAACAAGACTGAGGTTGACCTTGTATGGCCTTTCTCCACACAGCCTGAAAGGAAAATTAAATGTAATCGTGTTTTTTTTAAGGATGGTGAGTTTGGAGGTATTTTTTCTTGTTGTAAGAATGCTCACATTTCAGTTTTTCTGGTAGATTCAATTGATTTAGTTCGTTGGGGTTTGATAGAAACTGTAGATTCCAAAGCCAGAATGGACCACTGTGATAAAGTGGTCTGACTTCCTTCATAATACAGGCATATTGTTTAATATTCTGTTTTTTAAAGTCTATTGTCTGAATTAAGGATGTTACATTTCAAGTAATTTACTATTTGACTAGTCGATAGGCACTTCCACATTGCTCCTTTGAAATGTACAAGAGCCCCAACAGGAGCTCTTGTACATTTCAAAGGAGGAATGCACAACTCTGCTGCAGCTCAGGGCTCGCATGCCAGCTTTGAAATGTATGAGAGTCCCCAGTAGGGGCTCTTGTGCATTTCTTTGTGGAAGCACCCTCATGTCCCCTGCTGACCCTGGGCTCCATGCTGTGCTGCCAATTTGAAAAGCCACGCAGAGCACGGGGACTCCCCAGCTGACCCCAGGCTCTGTGCACTGCACTGGAATCTGGGATCAGCTGGCAAGTCCCCAGCTGACCCAGGGCTCCACGCAAACACCACAGTGGTGTTTCAAAGGGGCAGCGCCACATGGAGCCCAGGGCACTGCCCCTTTGAAATGCCGCCATGGTGTTTCAAAGCGGCAGCACTGCATAGAGCCGGGCACAGGATCTG